AGACCCCTGAAACAGTTGTGAGCCACCATGTGGGTACGGAAAATGGAACCCAGGTCATCTGCAAGACTAGCAAGTGCTCTTAACGACTGAGCCATGCCCAGCCTCTGACATGGGGTACTTCTTTCTGAGTTTGGCTGATTTAATTGGCCAGAATTTCTGATCCCCAGCCCCTGACAGGTGAGATGGACTCTCAACACTGTTTTGATTTGCATTTTCCTGATGGCTGTGGCTGTTTGCCACCTTCTCAGGTGTTTATTATTAGCCATTTGTATTTCTCTGTAAGCTATCTATTCTGTTCATTAGTGTATCTATTGACTGGATGATTTGTTTAGTCCTTACATTTAAATTTTTGCAGTTCTTTATACATCTTAGATATTAATCACCTGCCTGAAGCACAGCTGTCTAAAGGTTTCTTGGTGGAGTATTTAAAGGTCTTTTAAGTACATGATCAAGTCATCTTGAAATAAGGGATGAATTAGACTTCTTCCTTTCCAATTTACAGTCTACATTCATTACCTTTGTTGCTGTGATGAAATATTCAACAAGAGCAATTTGTGGAAGGAAGAGTTTATTTGGCTCATACTTTGAGGAAACAGGCCATCAAGATGGGAAAGGCAGGAGTGTCAAGTGTCGGGTCACATTGCATCCACAGTCAGGAAACAGCGGTATTTGTTCTAGGACTCCAGCCCATGGCATAGTGCTTATCTGCGTAGTTAAATCTTTCTGGAAATACCCACATAGACACACCCAAATATGGTTTCCATGGTTATTTTAAGCTCAATCAAGTCCGCAGTGAAGATGAAACAGCATAGTATCTTTTTAATACCAAGGTCCCCCACATGCTTTATTCCTAAAACCCTGTTCAAATATAAAATGTTGCTAGCAAATGGCTTTGAATCCCAGTACTCAACTGTTATGATAAATCTTTCCGCCAAAGCTGCCCGAGTTCTGCCCGCTGCATGGATGGACAAAATAATACAGAGACATATTAGGTACAAATGCTGCTTGGCCAATGACTAGGATCTCTCATCTGCTAGCTCAGTCTTAATTATCATAAACCTATATATTTTATAAGACTTATCTTATAGAGGATGCCTTCTGCTGGCGCCCTCTCTTGCCGGTGGATCACATGGCACCGCTGGAGGAGGCCAAAGGAGAAAAGGGACCACTTCCTGTTTCTCCTTGCTTAAATATGAGTCTCCTTACTATGTCATTTCCTTCCTGGATCACCACTTCTGTACTACATTTCCCAGAATCCTCTTAGACTCCTAGTCCTGTCTAACTTGCTGTCTCATTGGCAAAGCAGTATTTTATTCAATAATCAATAAGATGAACATACACAGTACATTCCCCATCACTCAACAGGCAGGTGGATTACTGGGAGGTCAAGGTCAGCCTCGTCTACATAGAGAAAACCAGGAAAGCCACAACTGCATAGAGAGACCCTGTGGCAAAGTCAGATGAAGTATAATAGTAATGATTTGGAGCTTGGGAGAAGTTCAGAGCTGCTTCTATGTACTGGGAGGTGAGCCCTCTTTATTCCATGTCAGTGGCTATGAGGTGAGAGTGGGAACCGTAAGGACAAAGCTGAGGGTAAAACCTGAGAAGGAAAATGAGCTCGGAAAGCTGCAAACCCCTACCACTGTTCAAGAGCAGGATATCTGAGCTCACTAGTAACTGTAAAGCCATGTGGAGAAGCCAAGGAAAGCTGCTGTGTGGTGTCCAGAGCTGCCTTCCTCATGCAGGACCCCTTCTCAAGCACCCTCCCTGGCCTCCTTACACTCAACAGGGAAGCAGCCTCTCTACCACGATTAACAAACAAGGAGTTCTCTGCAAGCTCTTGAGCCTCACAGGGGTCTCCTCCTACATAAACGCCAAGGGGAGGAAACGCCCCATTAGTTCATGCTGCTTCCAAATCCTGAAAAACGTTCGCCGTTCACCGTATAATCTAAGAATACCATCATTGAAAAGATGTGCCAGCCATAAAAATGTAAGGCCTATTGAAAGAATGTGCCAGCAATAACAATGTTAGTAAAGCTACAAGACGAAGTTTCTTAAAGACCTGGGGTTGCCTGGGAATAGCCCACATCTGTAACGTCGCAATGGAGAGTGTGGGTTTGGAATCAGCTAGGGACTGGTTTCTAACTCCGGTACAAGTCACTTAACCATTTATAAACCCCCACTTCCCATGGGTGGGTCGGAGATAAGAAAGTCTATGTACCTCAAGCGGATGCTAGGAAGACTAAATGAAACCCATGTCAGTAAACACTCGCCACTATCCCCCTAATTACTGCACACTAAAAGTCTTGAACTAAGAAAACGTATTTTAAAATAAAACCTATCTTGTGAGGCGATGGGTGATGGCGCACGCCTTTAATCCCATCACTCCTGACAGAGGCAGGTGAATCTGAGTTTGAGATCAGCGTGATCTACAGAGTGAGTTCCAGGACAGCCAGGGCTTCACAGAGAAACCCTGTTTTGAAAAGTAAATCAATCCTACCTTTTCTTTATATGTTTGATAGTGAGCATAAGACTCTTTTGGCTCAGAGCTCAACATCTCCATCAGTTGGGGTTTGCTTTTTCAGCATCCCAAGATTATGTGTATATTCAGGAAAATATTATTTATTCAACTTTCCTGGATTAGAGATTTTTTTGTATGAATAGCAAATTTTCTTGGCTGCAGGCAAGCTGACTCAGTAAAAAGAATGTTAAACCAAATTGTGAAGAAAACTAAATTTATCCTATGACCTTGTCACCAGCTGAGGGCTGGGGGGAATATCTTCACCCTAACCAAGTCTCTTAATGTTGGTTTCCTTATTCATCAAATTTAGTGGCTAATCAGACATAATTGAATCAGCAATAAAGGACTGTATGGTCTGAGTATGAAATGTCCCCCAGGCTCGTGTGCTTGAGTCCTTCTTCTACCTTGGTTGGTGATATTTTGGGAAGAGAGAGAATGTCAGTATTAGGACAGTCACTTGCTAGGAATCCCGGACATTGTTAGATCAAGTGATAACTTTAATGAGAGATAATGTTATTTTGCAAAGAATTAGCAGGCTAGCAAACTTTCTGTGGAGATGGAGAGTAAGAGGAGGATCCCAATAGTAGACACACTTGCCTTTGCATCGAGGCAGTCATTCGAGAAACTTCAGGTAAGGTCTATGGAAACTACAGAGTGCCTGCAATGAGTAAACACATTTTTTTTTTTTTGTAAAATAATATGCTGACAAACAAGAAGAAAAGCAAAATCATGGCATGGTGAAAAAATGTTAGTGATACCCTATAAACCAAATAAATGTCAGTTATATCAGAAAAATCATGGAATATGGCTTGGAGCTATATGCTGTAAAATGCCACTCTTACCATGCATGTGTTATGTGGCCTTCCACAGTGCTAGCTTGCCAATGGGGTAGATTGGTTCCAGTCCATTAGTGAGAAAGTTGCCAGGAAGAGAGGAAACCCAGAGTTCATGAATGAAAAGGAATACTAGGTGGCAGTCAAAATGGACAAGAAGGAAGGGGAGAGAAGCATGCAATCACTAGAGACGGAGAAGGGAGCAGGGTTTGGGGTGAATGACAAAGAGATTGGGGGGAAGGGCACCACTGCTCCTAGGTATGGTGAAGGAGAAAGTTTATTGTAGCTATGTGGGCGAGCACAGCCAGAGGCAGGGATGTCTCAGAGAGTCCAGCGTGGACACCACCCAGCTGAGCTGGGCCATGGAGTGGGGGAGGACAAGGGAAAAAGAGGGGACCAGCAGCAGCTAGGTGCAGCAGACAGGAAGTCAAAGAAAAAAAGGGGCGGGGTAAGCAAAATGTCTGGATTATATAGGGATGAGCCTCTCAGAGAAGGACAGCCCAGCCCCTGGGCTGGAGTTTAGGGTAGAGGATAGGGTATGCCAGCCCTGTTCAATCCCTGTAACAGGTAGGGGCTGGAGAATACTGGGAGAACCTGACAGCCAGGTCCAGCTTTGATATGTTAAATAGGCACTTCAGCCATTTGTCCCAGGTTTGAAACTTAATGAGGGGGGCGGGGCTGAAATGAGACCATGGGGTGCCCATGTAATCTAGTGGAATTAAGTTTTGAAATATTAGACCAAAATAGTTAGCTACTCCTTTAAAGACATTTTTAAAAATGTGTGTGTGTATGTGTGTCTATGTGTGTGTATGATTGTGTGTGTATGAGTGTGTGTATGTGTGTGTTTGTGAGTATATATGTGTATGTATGTTTGTGTATGTATGTGTGTGTATGAGTGTATGTGTGTGTGTATGTGTGTGTGAGTGTGTGTGTTTTTGTGTATATGTGTGTTTGTGTGTGTGTATGTGTGTATGAGTGTGTGTATGTGTATGTGTTTGTGTGTATATGTGTATGAGTGTGTGTATGTGTGTGTTTGTGTATGTGTGTATATGTATGTATGTGTGTATGAGTGTGTGTATGTGTATGTGTGTGTATATGTGCATGTGTGTGTAGGAGTGTATGTGTGTGTGTATGTATGTGTATGTGAGTGTGTATGTGTATGGGTGTGTGTATGTGTGTGTTTGTGTATGTGTGTGTATGAGTGTGTGTGTATGTGTATGTATGTGTGTGTATGAGTGTGTGTATGTGTATGAGTGTGTGTATGTGTGTGTATATGTGTATGTGTGTTTATGAGTGTATGTGTGTGTTTGTGTGTATATGGGTATGTATGTGCATGTGAGTGTGTGTGTGTATGTGTGTATGAGTGTGTGTATGTGTGTGTGTGTTTGTATGTGTATATGTGTATGTGTGTGTATGAGTGTGTGTGTGTATGTGTGTGTATGTGTGTGTATGTGTGTGTATGTGTATGAGTATGTGTATGTGGCAACGATGCACTCGCCTGCACTCAGATGCTCACATTCAGTGGTCACAAGAAGGCACTGGATCCACTGGAGCTGGAGTCACAGGCAGTTGTGAGCTGCCTGCTGTGGGTGCTGGGAACCAAACTCAAGTCCTCTGCAAGAGCAGGCAGCACTGTTGACTGCTGAGCCAGTTCTCCAGTCCCAGTAGTATTTATTCTTTAAATATTTCCTTATTCAGAAAATGATTTAGAGACAAATGGTTAAACTGGTTGTGGTGGCAGGCACCTCTAAAAGCAATACTTGAAAGGCTGAGACAGGAGAATCTCAAATTCAATGCTAGCCTTGACATACCAAAAAAACAAATATTTATATAAAACTACAACAACAAAAACCTACAAGAGATAAAAACAACAAAAAAGTTATTTTAAATGAAAGCAGATTTGAACTGGATGAACCCACTAAATCTGATGTTAAAAGGTTTGTGGTCATCTTATTAATTCAGATGCATAGCCTTTATTCTGGAGGTTTTCCAATTTAGCTAGCTCTAACAAGGCCCTTGGAGGCTTGCTTTGCTTCACAGTCACCTCTGAGGCAAGCCCAGGATGACCTCCCTACCTTCTACAACAAGCCTTTAGGAGAAAGGGGACTACCAGACTAATTAGGTTGGTCAATAAGAAAATACCAAGCACTGTCCACACCCAGGCTCCAAATGCTGACACCACAGGAACATAGTGTGTGGGCCTTCCCAGCTGTCCAAGAGTGCCTACCTCAGGCTTTTTAGCTCACACTGAAAGTTAGCTTTGGTTTGCTGTGTTTCATATTTTGGCTTACTATATACAAGTGTGACACATTTGTGGCAAAAAGACTGTACCCGAATGAAGACATCTGCAGCGAGAACTGGAGACATGACAGCTGCTGGTCTAACGGGAATATGCAAATCGACCCGCTAGCCTTTTCTGTTTGGAGCAATTGAAACTTTGAGGCCAGCTTCAAAAGAGGATTAAATTTTCCCTACAAAGCAAAAACCCATGCATAACTTAGTAGTTGGTAGGAAATCTGATATTTTCTGCCCAGCTCCTGGAACTATCCCAGACTACACATGGTTGGTGAACTAGAATTGAAAGCTCCCCCCATCTCCTTGCAAAGACAGGGTTTCACTCTGTAACTCAGAACGGTCTTGAACTCACAACAATCCTCTTGCCTCAGGCTCTAACGCTCCGATCACAGGTGTATGCGACCAAGTCCATCAAGGCTTGTGGCTTTTGACTCAGATCCAAGATTGTTTCACTATACCTCACTCTGCTCCACTCGCAGCAATGTGTGCGCCCTTTATCAGTCTTCTTTTGAGCCAGCCACGGTGGTGCATGCCTATAATAATCCCAGTGGAGGCAGGAGGATGGTGAGATTGAGACCTTGGCTGCAAGGTAAGTTCCAGAGCCACCTTGAACTCCACAGTCTCAAAAACTCTCTGAAATCCTGAAAGACAAGCTGCAGCTGGAGATCAAACTTTCCTGTCTGTGCTTGCTTGGTTCCGGCACGGGGCAGTTTCACATAAGACTATGAAAGTTGTCCTCAGTCTGGTTGAACAAATCTAATCAGCAAGGATCGCTGTATTACAAATGCTCTCACTCCACATCCTGTCATTGCAGAAATGGGTCCGCTTCGGAGATGACCTCATTTTAAAACTACTTACGGGCACACTACGATCCAATCACATCGTGTAAAGTAAAATGAGCACCTGTCATACGAAGTTGATGCGCCCGTAACTGGACCAATTCACACCCATTCTGCACTTCTGTCCCTCCCCGCCAGCATGTCCTGGCTCTGAATCTGTGTTCCCAGATTCTCACTTCCGTGGTAGTTTTCTGTCTAAAATGCTCCTCTCCAAACACTCCAATTCCACCTATCCTTTAAATACCAACAAAAGTTCCGTTCTCTCGGTGAAGGTTATTCCTCCATTGTCAACCGTCTCCTCTCTGCCTGTTCCCTTCCTTCTCACTATCCCAGTGCACCCTTTCTGAATCAATCCTAGACGTGTCTGTATTAGCTACATCTTGTTTTGTTTTGAGAGAGGGCCTGACTGGCCCGGGACTAGATATATAGACCAGGCTAGCCTTGAAATCACAGAGATCTACCTGCCTCTGTTTTGTGAGTACTGGTGTGGTAGGGGTCCTGATGGCCCGGGAAAAGAAAGACAGAAAATAGCCACACTGGCTAATCACTGTCCTTTATACATACTCTTGACCACATCTCTCCTGAAATCCCCTCATTGCTTAGTAAGCCTTCCCCGTGACCTTGATGGGAGGACGGAGAGGTCACCTCGTGGTTAAGACTCTGCCAGGAGGCTTACTACATACCCTGAGTCGTTCTTCCTTCTGCCACATACAAGGCCATCTTTAAAATCCCACCTTAAGATTTTAAAACAATCAATAAAATTCTAAGTTGCCATATGTGGGAGACAAATAAATCATGAAAAAAGCCCTGTTTTACTGAATTCTTGATTGGGTTTCTCTATGATCGCAGCGCATCTGAGCCTGCGCATGCACATTAGAGCTGCTTTTCCTGAAGCCGCCTCAGTATAGCTTGCCCCACTATGCCGTTTAGAATCCTGTAACCCTGGGATGAAAGGTGCACACTAGTTACTACTAGTTACTAGTTACTCTACTAGTTACTGTGATCCAATATCTGACAGGGCAACTTCAGGGAGGGAGGATTTGTTTGGTGTCATGGTTCAGAGCGGGCATCCTGGGCAGGAAAGCATAGTGATAGGACTGGCTTCTATTCAGGATGGCCAGACCTGAGGCAGGTGGTCTCTGCACCGCAGCACACAGGATGGAGGAAGCTGGGGCTGGAAGTGGGTCAGGCTATGATCATCTCTGTTAGTCATGCATGCTTCTCGGCCCCTCCAACTCCACAATTGCTCATAACAGTGCCACCAGCTGAAGCCCATGTATGGAAAAGCATGATCACACAAGGTACATTTTATATCCAGACCACAACAGCGTCTAGTCACATTCCAATTAGAAATATACAGTTCATCCACTGGTCCTCAGGGGCCGGGAGGGAGGGCAGGATCTGTGCTGAATTGGTCTTTGAATATGATATAACGCTGCTTCTTGATGTCCTACAGCTGCAGGCAGGCAGTGAGTGTGAATTGCACTTAGTGGCATTACTTTGCTCCTTCTGACCCACTCTGTGCACTCTCCACTTGTTCTGTGTACCAGGAAGCTGAGCAGTTAGGTCTGGCCCCTGGGAAGGAGGGTGGGCAGAGGTGAGTTTAGGATAGTTATCGTCCATCTTTCTGCCACAGTCACCAGCAGTTAGTCCTTCCTTCTGTAAAAGGCCACTGCTCTGTTAAGCTATCACTCCTCCACGGTCCCAGCAACCGTGTCTACTCCTCCAACTGTAAGTATGCAGGTGGAAGGAGGAGTTCATCCTGATAGCCCCAAGGGCTTGCTCATGATGCTTTTTCTACTGCAGCTCAGAGCTGCGGTGTAGTAGAAATGGAGGCTTCTAATAGGTTTTCTGTCCATCCCCATAGGTCTCTTTGCTGATTCAGTAAGCCAGATCCAAATTGAAAGAAAGTATAACAACAGGTTTATTTGAGCAAAGCAACTCCCTGGCAGGTTCTCCAGGCCCAGAGATTGAGACTGGAGAAGCTGTGCCCACAAATGAAAGCCACAAGCTGGGTTTGTGCTCAAGTATGGTCAAAAGCTGAGTGATAAGGCGAGGACTTGGGTGGCTGGCAAGTTCAGGGGAAGGAGCTGCAGTGCCACCAAGAATGTGGAATTGGGCTTTTTGGAGCCTTTCTTTTATTCAGAGACTCTCTGGGTGGGTAGGATTTAGAGACAGAGACAGGAATGGGGTGCTTTTGATGCAGGGGAAAGCTGGAGGTTCCAACTGAACAGCTTCAGCTAGGTGGTGGCAGCACAATCTTTAATCCCAGACTTGGAAGACAGAGGCAGGTGGATCTCTATGAGTTCAAGGCCGGCCTTATGTTGGTCCTGGTGTCTCTTCAATAGAACACTACCTAAGACAGATGCTGCGATGACAGCCATTACTGTTTGCTAATTTCAAAAATGCTGTCTCAATAAAAGTAACATGGATGCCTTATCTGCTATTTCTCCCTCTGTCTCCCTCTCTCTCCATCTCTCTTTCTTCACTCATCCATATCACACACAGATACTAGGAAGTTCCCCCTTTTCAACCACCCAGAAACTAGCTGCACACATCAGGACATGTCACCTGTTAACAACATTCCAGGTCTGAAGAACAGACTGACCCACCTAAGAAACTCACCTGCTCCCAGACAAGGTCCTGCTTGCAGCTCTTCCCAAATTTCTGCAGCTGCTTCATCACATATTTTATTTCTACACTATTTTCAATGCAGTTTTCTAGCCAGTGTTGCTATGATACATTTGACTGTTATCCCTGTTTGGACTATTTCAAATTTGATCTTTATGTTTACTTTGTTCTTTACTTTATATTCCCTTGTTGTTTTCTTATGTTTATTGGTACAAGGGTGTCAGATCCCCTGGAACTGGAGTTATAGACAGTTGTGAGCTGCCATGTGGGTACTGAGAATTGAACCCAGGTCCTCTGGAAGAGCAGCCAGTGCTCTGAACCGCTAAGCCATCTCTCCAGCCCCACTTCTCCTTTGTTCTTAATACAAACCCAGAAGACCTCTCAGAACAGCCTGTAGTCTGGATCTGTCTTGTTACCTGTGATTAGGCTCAAATCAGACATTTTGCCAAGAGCACCTGAGTGGTATTTTTATCATTTATTTCATAGATAACAAGAAGGTAATCCAGGCCATCCCACTAGTCAAGCTCTGCCTGCCTAATAATGGCAGCCTTCACATTTTGTTCCTAATAATTTACTTAGGTCTTCTAGGGGCAGATACTTTAACACACAAGAGCATTCTGCTACCACAGAGCTTGGCACTTGGTGGTTTGTGCATATCTTCTTAATGAGCTGAACCAACTTTTCTATTTGGGTAAGGGTGTTGAAAATGGGATGCTTCCCTCCTACATTTATTAGCAGTACCATTTGCTTAACTGGACATTGAAGAAAAGAACAGAGTGCTGGAAATCCATCTTAGTTCTTCTGGAACGATGACCCTCCCCGCTCATCTGACCTCACAATTTCAAAGGTAGATTGCACTACTCAAAGTTTCTGATGCCTCAAGTATCAGCCACTTAAGATGGTCACTGTCACACATTGATTTGAGTGTCACCACCCTAAGGGAGCCCTTCTTCGTTGACTGTAAGTGAAGACAATAGTTCTCATTTGTGCCCAGGCTGTACCCTATACAAACTGACACTTGACTACACATAATTACATACTGTGTTTTCTTCCCGAGGGTCTATGAACAACAGGAATCTGGTCTGACTGGTTTTCACATGTTTCCTAATCAGTATTATTATTGTTGTTGTCAGCTTGATACAACAAGGGATCAGTTGGAAGAGAAAACCTCAACTGAAGATTGCATTGATTAAAGTGACCTGTGGGCATGTCTTCTGGGTATTCTGTTGACTGTTAATTGATGCAGGAGGGCTCAGCCCACTGTGGGCAGTACCATCCCTAGGCAGGTGAGTCTGGGCTAGATAGGAAAGCTAGTGGAGCATAAATTGGGAGTCAAGCCAGTCAGTGGCATTTCTTAGTAGTTTCGGCTTCACTTTCTGCTTGTATTTCTACCCTGACTTCCTTCAATGAAGGACAGTGACCTGGAAATATCAGCCAAATGAGCCAGTTCCTTCCTAGGTTATTTTGGTCATGGTGTTTAGCATAGCAACAGAGAAGCAAACCAGATGAATAACCACACCCTCCCCTAGCATGATGCTTAGTGGGTACTGAGTTAAATAGAGTTCACACACATGATGTACATCATCTAGAAACACCCCTGAGAGGGAAATAGACCACATGCCATTTACTAGCTTCATGCAGACAACAGAGAGGGAGTGGCTTGTTCTCATGGCCTGGTCTCATGTCCTGTGACAGTGGATAGCCTTGCAGTTACTACCTAAGAAATCACAGTGGAGCTCGCCCAGCAGACAAAGGTTTCCAGAAATATAAAAATGTCTCAAATGGTTATAGAAATCACAGTGGAGCTTGCCCAGCAGACAAAGGTTTCCAGAAATATAAAAATGTCTCAAATGGTTATTTCTTTCCCAAAACATTAGACTCATTTTCAGAAAAACTAACTTCCTTGTATATATGCTCCATTTTTCCCCCTGATATTTTTTTCCAGACAGGGTTTCTCTATGCAATAGCCCTGAATGTTCTGGAACTCACATTGTAGACCAGGCTGGCCTTGAACTCACTGAGATCCATCTGCCTCTGCCTTCTCCCCCTGATATTAAAGCCATAGCTTATAGATCTCATTTTGCAAAGGGGAAACAGAGTCATATAAAAAGAGTAGAATAACTTGCCCCACCACACTTCTAGATATCAAAAGGGCTGGGACTTACTCAGAGGGTCCAAGGTGAGGACCTCAGTGGTTCTCAACAGTTTGTTCATGGCTTTAGTGCATAGGAAGTGTTAGGGCTTGATGAAGAAGAACCAGGCAGAAAGGCCAGAGCGGCTCCTCATTTATGAAGGAAAATGTCTGTCCTAGAGAAAGACCAAGTAACCCCCACCCAGGTAATAAATAGTCACAGGCAAACCCAGGCTTCTTCACCCAGATGGCCTGATTGCAGGTGGAGCCTTTGGCTATTGTCTTGCTGCCTTTAATGGCTGTTCCTTTGCCAGCCTGAGCATACCCTACATCTTCTCCTTGGAAAAGGAAGAAAATCGGTCTTGTGTCAAGAATGACAACCAATATTGATCGAGCATTTAGTATGTGCTTGGAAGTTTCTGAGTGTCTGAAACAAATTGTCACATTTCATCCCTAATTCCAACCTATAAAATAGATGTTGCTCTGAGCACGGGTTCTCATTTGCTTTCAAACCACCATCTGTGTAGAACTTAATGATATTTATCTGAGCTGCCTAACTTCCTTAGGAAAAGGCTTACACTATTGGTCATTTAGTAGATGACAGCTCCTGAGGACCTTCAGGGAAGCTCAAAATCAGTAGTGCACAGTGGGGTTGTGTCATCATTTTGGTGTCTCACAATGAGAACCACCTTCAGTGGCATTTGCTTTCTTCTGCAGTAAGTTTTCTAGTTGAATGATATCCTTTAAAAGTCTATTAATTAAATATATACCGTGCTGGTTTGAATGAAAATGGCCCCTGTGCTCATATATTTTGAACACTTGGTCACTAGTTGGTGGAACTATTTGGGAAAGATTAGGGGGTGTGATCTTGTCAGGGGAGGTGCATCCTTGGGGCTGCACTTTGAGATTGCAAAAGCCCATCCCCTTGTCAGTTAGCTCTCTCAACCTCATGTTTATGGATCCAGATGTAAGCTCTCAGCTGCTGCTCCAATACCATGTGTGATGGTTTAAAAGAAAATGTCCCCCAAAGGGAGTGGCACTATTAGGAGGTGGTCAGTCAACTTCCTATTGCCTTTGAGTCAAGACGTAAGGACTCTCACCTCCAGCCCGGAACCTGCCTGCAGGCCGCCATGTTCTCTGCCATGAGGATAATGGACTGAACCTCTGAAACTGTAAGTGAGCCACCCCAATTAAATGTCTCCTTTACAAGATTTGTCGTGGTCATGGTGGCTCCTCAAAGCAATGAGAACCCTAACTAGGACACCGTGCCCATCTGCCTGCTGCTTTGTTTTACATCATGATGGTCACAGCCTCTAACCCTCTGGATCTGTGAGTCGCAAATGAAATGCTTTCTTTTATAAGTTGTCTTGGTCATGGTGTCTTGTGATAGCAATAGAAAAGTAATTAAGCTATGGTGATAAGGATGCACAAGGATGCAACAAGAATGCACATTTGCAAAGGTTCAATACTGTGGGCTTCCAAACACACGATACCAGGAAAGGAACCATGGAGACAGTAAAAAGATGGGTGATTTCCAGGGATGCAAGGGAGGGGCAGGAGGGGCCGCTGTGTGGAACACAGGATGTTTTTAGAAAGTTAAATAATCCTGTGTTGTTTTGTGCATGTCATTGTACACTAACCAGACTGCACACCAAAGATGAGCCCTGATGTAAACTTTGGACTTCAGTAAAAAATGTGTCAATCCCAGCTTATCATTTACAGCAAATGTGCTATATGATTCTATGATTCAGTGATAACAAGATAGCAAGATGAGAGGGAAGATAAAAGACAGGTAGAAACTCCTTGTACTTCCCACTAACTTTTTTTTTTTTTTTTTTTTTTTTTTTTTTTTTGGGGCCACACCCCCTTTTACCCCCGCCTGCAACCCAGGCAGGCCTTGAATTTATAATCCTCCTGCTTCGACCTCATGAGTAGCCGGGATTCCAGGCATACACCGCCACACCTAGTCCCACCAAGACTTTTATGAACTTAAGGCTAATGAGAAAGAAAAGCCTGTTAATGAAATGTATCTATTCTGATGTATATACCCATGAACACACATCTGTGAGGATGTATGTACAACAAGAATGCACAACAATGAAGGAGCAGTGTTTCCAGGTGTTGCTGTAGTACACTGAGATGCTCTTAAGACTGATTTCATGGGACTTCCTGGGGACCTTTTCTTTATCAGAATTAGGAATCATTAGGATCATATTGAACAAAGCAACTGAGAGGTGCCAGGCCTCAGAAATGCATTCCAAGGTGCTGTCATGAAAATGCAGAACTGCCTGAGGTCTGAGGCAGGGGCTGTAGAGATGGAATCATTACTCACGGGAGGGGCTAAGTGACCTCCGAAGACAGAGAAGGGAGAAGGGTGTGTTCAGCCCAGCAATCCCGACAGACACACGAAAACCTGAACCCTTAGCACGTTTTGCACAACTTTTCAAAGCCAAGTTGAGGAATGAACATCATGAATTGAAAAATAGAAATGAAGAAAAGTGAAATAAATCTTCGAGGGTCAGCTGAGAAAACACACACATTTTAATGGGATGTTTTCAAACTATTGTAACGTAACAGTTTCGGAATCTGACTCTATTATTATAAAGGGGTGAACCATACTGCTCATGCTTGTAAGTTATTCTCCAGTTTCCTTGTGATTCTAAAATAAATATTGCTACTTGCCAGCTCTGTGGTGAGCTTGCCAGGTTTGGTTTAAGCATTTGTGCACGGACACACACATGCACACACACAACATGCACATACACAAACAGGCACACACACACACACACACACACACACACACACACACACACACACACACCACATGCACCTTCACTAGGAGAAACTTTGTTATTTGTGCACTTGTTTGAAACGCCAATAACCTTGAAAATGGAAGTTCCCTCACAGAAGCTGCAGTTGCCTGCCTTCTGGGGTACAATATAGATGAGTTTCTCTGCACTGAAGAGGCAGAGACAGGAGACTGTCAGTTTGGTGCAAGTCTGATCTATATAGTGAGACCTTGTCTCGACTAAAAAAAAAAAAAAAAAAAAAAAGTCAGATATGAAAAGGAGCTGATCCAGCACGCAGAACTGTTGCAACATCCAAATTATATTTAAGAAGAACGATATACACATGTGAAAATTCCTTATAAAGACTTCATGTTAACTGTTACTACCTGTTTTCATTGACTGATAGATAACTGGCATTCCCCACATCTGCTCCACTGCCTGCTCTGTGTTGTTTTGCTCGGGCTGCTCCTGACTTGTACAGGTTCTGGTCTCTAGGGCCACTGTGATCATCTGGAACCTCAGGATGTTCCACCAGTTAGATGAGGTCACCAATGTTAGGTAGTTGCAGCATTTCATGCCTGGCAAAAGATGCCTCAGCAAGAGTGCTGAGAAACCTGGTTGCTTTGCCTCCTAACTGGCCCAGGGACTCAGGCCAGAGTCTGGTGGGCAAGCTAAGTGAAGGTCACACCACCTTCAGGGTCACAACTCCTGATCTTGTTGATGTTCAGTTCAAGCTGGAGACCTTAGACTCTCCTCTTAGATGATTCATCTTGTTCTAGAGTGCATTTTGGAGATGGAGGCATGAGAATCTTAAGCTAAACGCCAGCCTAGGCTACTTTTTGAGTTCTGAGTCAACCCCGGTTACATAGTCTCAAGCAAAACAAAATAATCAAAACCAAAATCCAAATAAACAGCGGCAATTTCATCTCCTTGGCAAAGCAGACATCCGGAGCCTGCACTCCCACTCTTCAATGTGAACTCAGATAAACTTGGAAAGCTCAGTCGTTAGACGGGAGGTTAGCTCTGGGAAGGACTAATACATAGGTCCTCCAAATCAGGACATAAAGAACAAATAAGATGGTGCTTTCTCCAGCTGCACCAGCTCAGGACCTTGCTTGAAGCAGAATGCAGAGGAAAGGATGGCAGTTGATTGGGTGGTCAGGATATGAAAATAGTGCTGACATTTGACCCCAGATAAGCCTACTGAGATGCTTTCAGACAGGATGTAAAAAATAACAGGTGGTAGTGATCAGCTAGGTGTGCCTGCTTAAACTGGCTTCAAGACTTCCTGGCCAGGGGCGCTGTACCCTTTTTCCCTAGTAAGCTTTTCAACTCCTGTTCATCATCTTCTGTCTTATGCATATACTTATGGTAGACTGAATTCTAGGTAAAATGGGATTCCAAAAACAGCATGGCCCAGTCTTGGAAGTGTCTGCTCTAGGAGCTCTCCTAGGACATAACAGCACAGAGAAGACAGGTACGGGGCTTGTCCTGCTAAAGTCTATTCTTCTGAGTGCTCTACTGTGTTTCTGAAGAGTGGGTATGATCTTCCATTAGTGTTGGTGGTGTAAGGGGAAGGGTCATGTGCAAGCAGGTAAACACGCACCCTTACATGCACATGTAAAAGCCAGAATCCAACTTGGACTCTTCCTCACCACCTTATGTGTTTGAGACAGAGTCTCTCCACTGAACCTGGTGCTTGCCAATTCTCTCAACTGGCTGCCACCAAGCTTTGGAGAACTGCTTGTTCCTTGTCTCCACCACTCAGCACTGGGTTGCCAGAACCCACCACCATGCCTGGATTTCTACGCAGGTGCTAGGAATCCCTCCTCGGATCCCCTGGCTTGTGTAGCAGACACTGTAGGCACAGAACTCACTCCCCAGGCCCTTCGAGCATGTTCTTGCTTCTTGGCTTGCTCTAGTTAGACTCTGGACTGTCTGCTCTGCTGCTGAGTCTCATCTGAAGTCTTCTTTCTAGTAGACCTGAGGATGCTGTTGGGGTAGAGACCAGAGGAACCCGGACAGTTCCTGATAACACTATTCAATTCTGTGATACCTAAGCTGGGATCCTGGTGACACTATTCAATTTCAAGACTTCTAAGCATGGATCTGCACAGAAGTACCATATTCAGAACTAACAACATCAGCCACTGTTCAGTTATGTGTCTAAGGCACTGGTTCTTAACCTTCCTATTGCTGCAACCCTTTTAATACAGTTCATTGTGTTGTGGTGACCCTCAACCCTCAAATTATTTCATTGTTACTTCATAACTTTCATTTTTCTACTGTTATGAATCTTAATGTAAATATCTGATATACAGGATAACTGATATGTAACTCCTAAAGGGGTAGTGATCCACAGGTTGAGAACCACTGGTGTGTGTTGACATGGCCAAAACCTTGTCATTGAATTCCTTTGTGTCCATCACACAAATAGCAGAAAAAGAGCTTTTCCATTGATCCTCACAGTGGCAAGTATTTTCACACAAGGAAAGAGTAAGTTTTGTGAACGATATAAAAGCTGTTATTTTGATACATTAAAATTAGGTTTTAGCGAGGTGTGGTGACGCACACCTTTAATCCTAGCACTCAGGCAGCAGAGGCAGACAGATCTCTGTAAGTTCAAGGGCAGCCTAGTCTATAGAGTAACTTCCAGGCAAGCCCTGGCTACAGAAAAGATAAGGTTTTGGCAATGATATTTGGGACAATTTATTTTGGGGAAACCACTTGGAGTCCATTTTCTGACTCCACATGATGCCTGGTGGTTAACTGTGACCTCTTGTATTAGTTTACATTAACACTGAACAAGAAAGATGATTAATAAGAACAGCTTTGTTTTAGGAAGGTTGTTTTCTGTTGTTGGTCATATTTCCATGGGTGAATAAGCCATTTCTCAGTCAACGTTAATTTTTACTTTATCCTTCTTATTGTTACATTTATTTTTCAGGCAAAGAAAAATTCACTTAGTATATTAGGGCTGAATTTTAATAATTGCCCTGAAAGAATAGATGGTCTCATTATGGTTAATTTTTATTCATTAAGTCATTTGTCTAAGTAATAGCTTTTGGCTGTTTTGAGAACTGTGAGCAAAACACAGAGAACTCAGTACTTAAAGCTGAAATATTATAACGATGACTTTGTAAAAATGATCCGCGCGCGCGCGCGTGTGTGTGTGTGTGTGTGTGTGTGTGTGTGTGTGTGTGTGAATAAAGATAGACAATGGGTATATAATTTCCTGAGAATTTTATTTTTAACTGCATTTTTATAAACTTACTTCCATCTCTCCAGTGTTTCATTATTTGGAACTCAGTTTATAAGTAAACTAATTCAAGAAAGGTATTTTGTTGAAAATCATAGCTCATAAAGAATCAGAACACACTAATTCCTCAACAGCAGGTTATCTGTGAAATTATTCTATTCTTGGTTTTCATGCTTTGGGATGATTGCAACAGGAATCTAGTCTTTGTGTACAAAAGAAACTTAGAATAATGTCTTATTGTTTGCTGTGCTCTTTGGACAGGGCCTCGCACCATGTAGCCCATACTAGCTTTGAACTCATGATTTTCCTCAACATCCAGGTATTGGGATTACAGAACTCTCTTTCTCTCTCTCTCTCTCTCTCTCTCTCTCTCTCTCTCTATATATATATATATATATATATATTATATATATATATATTATATTATATATATATAATAGTTTTTGAAGATAGGGTTTCTCTGTGTAGCCCTGCCTTCCCTAGAAATTGCTCTGTAGACCATGTTGGCCTTGAACTCACAGATGTCCTCCTGCCTCTGCCCTCCAAGTATTTGGGACTAAAGGTGTTGGCTACTCACCCACCATCACCCATCACCCACACATCACTCAGTGTGTGTGTGTGTTTGTGTGCATATATATTGTGTTTATTTATTTTGTGTGTACACTTGCCCACAAATAGAGACCAATGGACAACCTGTTGGAGCCTCTACCCTGACCGTGTGGGTCCCTGAGATAGAGTTCTGGTTGTCAGATATCCAGGGCTAGGTGTTGCCTGTTGAGCCTTC